TCATCTGCCTCCCTTTCCTTTCATCCTATCAGTCTCATCAGTCACATCAAACTCACTGCCTATCCACTTGTATAGCCACATTCTCTCCTCTGCACAGCTCAGCACTCCCTTTTACTCTTGCAGCTGTAGTCTCACGTCACAAATCACCCCTAAAGGTTTCTGCATACTCCATCTGAACTGCCAAAATTGTCTCTCATTTTTTCATGACAAACATTGTGTCATCTTGTTCGTAGCTTCCAGTCTTCCACTCGTTCTTGTCACAACCCAGCAGGAGAACATTTTAACCCCCTCTGTATACAAAATAACAGTGCGATTGGTCAGACGTTTGTGGGCGTRTTTGTTTATGCTGRAAGCGCTCGGACGCTGCATTTTGCTTAACTGCTCACTTCCAGAATCCAGTGTTGTGTAAAGTACCTCAAAGTGATACTTGAGTAAAAGTACAAGTATCTTATCATAAAAATACTTTGGTAAAAGTTAAAGTCTCCTTTAGGAATATTACTTGAGTAAAAGTCTTAAAGTATCTGATTTTTTTAACTCAAGTATCAAAAGTAAATTTCTGACACAAAATCTACTTAAGTAATGGAAGTAAAAGTGATCGGTTAGATTTTCCAAAATGACATTTATTAGGAGGTGACTTCTCCAAAAACCATTTTTTCTATGCAGCTGTGATGCGTTGTGTACAAGCTAACATAGTGTCAGAATGGTATATATTTATACTTCTCATCCAAACACAATTAAATTCACTCTTTCCAGGAGACACAATTTATCAGGATAGTTTTTTTAAAGTAATAAAAACTCGGAATAAAGTAGGAGTGAATAAAATAGGGGTAACGACTTTCTTCTTTTTACCTTTTTAAAAATGTAAGGAGTAGAAAGTACAGATACTGTAACTGTGTAAAATATAATAAGTAAAAGTAAAAACTAAGTTGAAAAATAATTACTCAAGTAAAGTAACAAAGTATTTGTACTTAGTTACTTTACAACTCTGCCAGAATCCGACTGTTGTACTCAAAAGCAGACCTTCATAAAGATAGTTAAATGGCCAAAAACTCGTGGGTGGAGATAATAATAATAATGTCACAAAATGAAACCACAAAACCTTTATAGCGCTTTTATGCATCATTAATTCACATTCACACTAATAAAACAGATGTTGTGCACGGAGTAATCTGTCTGCCAAATACTTTTGCGTTTTAACCGATACAGTTTGTGATGGTGGGTATCGGAGATTTGCTTGTTTTTTTTCTCTCCTGAATTTAAACTCTAGTGGGAAGGAACCTTGTGCAGTGATATATATTGAAGCGGGATTCCCAGGAGCTCGGCGTGTCTCAGGAGCTGTGACGAACATCGAACAACCACATGACCRCCCGTCAACGGTTCAGCTTCGGATGAAGTGTGTGGAGGCTTTAACGCTCTTCATCCACTCCACCCTGCCGGTACTTTCTTCATCATCTCTTTTGTGAACTGTTTGCTTTGGATGGTTGACCCAAAACACTTAAAGGGGACCTATTATGCAAAATTCACTTTTTAAAGGTTTTATTTTACTCAACTTTGGGTATGTATTTCTTAAAAAAACAGTCCTAGGACCAAAAAAATGCACCCAGGGGCATATTTACTGTAAGTAAATGTATTTTTAATGTATATTAACGACAAGTTTTATACTGCCATCATTTTGTGATTTCACAAGCCGTACGACAACCCACCGGAACCTGTGTTCAGCCCCTTACCTAGCAACCCCCGGGTGAAGCTCCACCTCCTCAGTATAAAAAGCCATCATGGTTGTTATGCAATGCACAGCTTATTTCACAACAGGTCTCCAATAGGGCAATGGGTAGAGTGTTGGACCAGAGAGTAGGAGACCAGGGTTCGTGAATGGCACAATTTAATTATTTATTTTCATTCGTTATGAACACGTTTTCTCATGTACCTCTATTGTTTAGCTTATTAAAGCCTTGTTAAAGCCTATTCGTTCGAGTTTCTGAGGTATTTTGACCGCTGCTGCTCCCTGCTCTAGTAACAGCATGCAGAGTGAGCGCAGAGCAGAGGAGGGGGAGAAAAAAAAGAAGAAGCTGCGACCATGACTCTGCCTCTGGGTCTCATATGGTTGTACAACGGAGCTTCTGCTATTATTAGCCATGCTAAGGTAAACGCTTGGAGGGTGGAGTTAATGTCAACAGATTTTTGGAGGGCGTTACCAACAGAGCTCATTAACATAAACAGCTCTTCTGAATGCAAGTCAGAGCAGGCAGAACTAGAAAATGGGAAATTTTATTATCTGAGGATTATTTTGTGCATTAAATTGAATGAACATGGTCTGGATAGCCCACAGACATATCACAAAAATTTCTAGGACCCATAATTGGTCTCCTTTAAACTCATCCTTTAAACCTTGCAGCTTAGATGTCGCACCAGTTTCCCGTAGATACCGACCTCCACCTCTCCAGTCTCTCTTCCACCTGATCTCTACTTTCTCTACAAATCAAGGTGTCGTCTCCAGCCTCATACCCCTGAACCCTTCTGCCTCTCTACCACACTGGACTTCCTCATACAGCACCATAGTTCCTTTCTTGGCCCTTTCCCTGGATCCCTGATGCACATGTTTTTTTTCAACTGATGTTTAAAATCCACAGATGATTAAAGCGAACAAAAAAAGCTGTCACGCTGAGTGGACCTGACATCTTAAAAAGTGTTTARTAGTAGTGATGAGCCCGACACGTGCTTGTGGTTTTGAAACATACCCAGGAAGGTARGATTTACAGGTCTGATAACCGAAGTCTTTTCCATCGCACTCCTCCATCCCTTCATGTCGGTAACCATCTCCACAGTAGGCCCATTTACAGTCTGCAGCAACAAAGAGAAAAGGATGAGAGAAGTGCATGAGCATGGACACTAGAAAGCAAATCAGGAAGAGAAGGGCATTACAAATTTCTTTGGCACGGCACTCGGCTGTCAGTGATGCCAGTGCAGCATTTTCTCGCTAATTTAATTGAAAAGAAGCAGAGAGCGGCGAGAGGTTGGCAGGAAAAGAGAAAGCAGGGGGTGGGGGGTGGGAGGGATTCATAAAAGATCAAAGAAAGGTTTCGTGGTGTGGGCCTGCTTTTATCCTGCGCCACACGGGGAGAGAATCTGTGGTTCAGCTCTGCAGGGTGTCTCATGCTGGCGTCCGACAAAAACAGCCAAAATCTTTGCAGACAAAGGCTGCTTCTGTGAATTAAGCTAAAATAAAAAAGCCCTTGTATCCTTCTATCTGTAGCGCCACATTGCCAAACCCCCCTGCGTGTGTGCAAGAGAGAATTAGAGGCAGATCACTCACTGAGACACGCGTCAGTGACAATCTGGTTTCCATCGTCACACTCCTCCCCGTGTTGGGTCTGCACCTTCCCGTCCCCACACACACCCACTCTGTCCGGGACTTTCTCCGTGGACTGGAAGGGCTGAAAGGGCTGGAACAATTGTGTGGCTAAATTACTTTACGAGAGAATATCTCAAGATGAAAAAAGACRAACTTTACCGTCTTCGATAAACGACATAAACTGTTTTGTTACYGTACCTGTAAGGGGCTCCAGCCATCTTTATCTTTAAAGTAAAGCATCCTCTGATCCCTCCTGAGTGCGATCGCATTGTCTAGAGTTATGCGTCCCATCTCCTCCTCACTGCTCACCACAAATATCTGAAACAACAAGCAGATGGCTGAGAAATAGCTGCTTCGTGATGTAAAGTCAGTAATGTTCAGGGTGAATCTTACTGCAGTGAGTTTATTGCTGCCACGTCGTTGGGTGTAATAATGTCCAAAGGGGGCGTTATTTGCTCCAACAAGAGTGTTACAGTCGCAGCGACCCGGTGGACCCTGCTCTCCCTTCTCCCCGACTAGAAAGAGACCTGCAGGAAACAGCAAAAATAGTTAGAACACAAGATATACAAGAGGATTTTTATATGTAAGTCATAKCACCTGAGGCGGGTGGGCCAGGTGGGCCAGGGTGACCGTGGGGACCAGGAGGTCCTGGTGGGCCCATGAGTCCTGGGGCTCCTGTGTGGCCCATTGTACCCTGAATAAACCAATAAGACATGATGTACGTGTTTTATGTATTTTTGTATGTTTTTGAGTTTGTATGTGTTGTATTGTATGTAAAACTTTTTTTGGAATGTCTCAAAAAGGGTTAAGGCATCTGCAATTATTTTAATAGTTAAACTGTATATTCTAAAGAGATTTAGGAATTTCAGGTGTTATTTTCTTGAACATTACTTTTCACCTGTTTGCCTCTCTTTCCTGGTCTCCCAGTTGGTCCTCTCTTCCCTGGAACACCCGGCTCTCCCTTCGGACCCAGCTCGCCCTTGAGAAAGAAACACCAAGGTTAAGAAATAATTCGATTTTATCATTCATCTGTACTCATACTTTTCTTTTTCATACCTTTTGCCCAAGCATCCCAGGTAAACCAACGGAGCCCTAAAAAAGGAAAGGCCATTAGAGTTCGGTGTGAGAAAAGTGGCCTTCTGATACAAAAAAAGACATGAGTTGAGTTGCTCTCTTTCATAGCCAATATTAAATACTCCACGTTAAGTTATGCAATACTTTTCTAATTATTTTAGGACTTGTAATGAAAACAAACCTTTTCTCCTCTTGGTCCTGCTGGGCCAGTTTCACCCCTTTGCCCCTTATTTTTAAAAACACAACAGGAATTATTAAAATATAGACTGCTGTATCAAAAAAAACATGACGTTGGTCTGTTTAATTAAACCATAAATGATTTTTAGCAGGGAGACATTTATTGTGAAACCATAACTCTATGCTTACCTTGTCGCCTTGATAACCAGGTAAACCCTGAAAGAACGGATGAGRAGCTTTAACATGTATCCTCTGTGAATGTGCTCATGTTGGAAAGATGCCACTGACCTTTGGTCCTGGTGGACCCCGCAGACCTGGTAAACCCATGAGTCCYGTGTCTCCCTTCTCCCCCTTGTAGAAACAAGCAATGATTATCTCTGTCATACATGGAATATACAGATGTGCCATGCTACATCATATAATAACTGTAACATAAAACTTCAATACATTTTTAAATTAGATACAGAAGTTTCACTTTATTATGGAAGTCACACAGGACACACCTTTCGAATTTAGCTGCAACAGAAGTTGCACCTCGCTCACAGACTTGGGTAAAATTGGTTACACAGCCAAATAACTTGCACCCACACACCTTTAAAGGAATCCCCGATTAGTTGTAACATTAGACTTTATATATGATAAACATATATTTTAACTGTAAAATAAAGACTGTAAAAATACTGTATGTTCAGTTTTTATACTTTTTAAACTAAAAGTTTAAAAACATATTACACGAACGGGGCCATTTTATTTACACGCAAAGCATTCTGGGTAAATGATGACGTAGACAGGTCCTCGGTGCGAGGCTGCTAGCGAGCTATATCCACCCAGAAGGTTAATCTTGGACAATATCTGATGATCAACTCTTTTAAATGAAACCAGAGAGCGTTGACAGAGAGGAGAAGGTAGAAATGACTCAG